GCGGGTTCGAGTCCCGTCCGCTGCCTGGTCCGCGTGGATTTTTTTTCTAGTAAACTTTTCTTTAGATTTAAACATCTAGCAGTTAAATGCTTAAAAATAAATAAAATCATAACTATAATTGCTATTTCTTCTTTCAAATGTTTAATACTTGAAAAAGTATGCATTTGACATTGTGGGTTACCTACAATGCGAAGAGATGGCGCTGCCTTGCAGCTTAAGGCTAGGAAAATTTCGACGCGGCTAATAGGGCCGTGGTAGCATAATGGTCAGTGCATTCGCCCGGATAGCGAAGGATGCGGGTTCGAGTCCCGTCCGCTGCCTGGTCCGCGTGGATTTTTTTCTAGTAAACTTTTCTTTAGATTTAAAATATAGCAGTTAAATGTACATTAAATAATAAAATGAATAGCGATAATCGCTGGTTCATGCTCGTTAACCAGGGAATTTTAATATAAAAATGTATAAATAGCAGTTTAAAGAAAATTAAAATAAAATAAATTCACCTCAGTTATTTAGGACTACTCGAAAAGATGCTACGTAGCCGTCAGAAATTCGCTTTGCGGTATTTCACGGAATTTTCAATTTCCCGCGGAAAACGATTTCTAGATATAGGATACTTTACCTCATATTGCGGCAGTCATTCATTGCCGAGTTCCGTGTCACTTCCTCAGGATGTGAGTTAACATCTTTTTGAAATACTATCGAACACATTGATTTTTTTTTATTTAACTTTTTTCCACATTATTACACATGTAAACACTATGTATACATCTGCCAAACTGTTTAACAGTTTGTCGGCAGCAGCTCTCGTTATAATATTTTATATGTATAAAAACCTATCTAGTTCAACAAAAAATAAATAAAATAAAAAACAAAAACACATGCACATACACACAGGCACACATAACTTACATACACACGCGCACACATAATTATACATAAGTTAGGTACATAACTAGTACAGGCATACTATGATATGAATGATGACTTACACCAAAACTTGCAGATTATATCAGTAATCTATTAACACACAAATATCTAGTTATTTATACCGTTTCTGATTTTTGTAATTTTACATTATAAATACTCGTTTAATAAACAACCAAGCTTTAACTAACCTACCACTGAAGGCTTTCCCTCTCTTTATGGACACAACGATAGGTAATGCTTGCGCAGGGTACTCTTTAAATGATTTTTGGATTCATTACCCACATGCCAGATATTTAGCTAAGAAATTTCAAAACAGTAAATTTTTCTTCTATATATGTTCCGCGATAGCTGATTATTTTATTTGATTGATTGATTTATTTCATCGATTCGGGCTCTAATCACAGGATTGAGAATCGTAATCCACAAATCATCTCGACAGAACGCCACTACATACCAAGATTGGCCAGAGAAGCGATGGAAATAACCAAACACAAACATTTCAATCGTGAAGATGGGTTTAAATTGTCAAGTGTCTGGAATCCAGTGGTCCGTATGTGTAAAAACCGCAAAAATCAAAAAAGTGTCGTTTCGCGATCTGATGCTGTGAGTATTGTGTGTGGGAACAGGAGCGAGTGAATAGTCAGAATGTGATCATTGGTAGGGGTATCGAGCGCAGTAAAAGACGACCGAGAGGGTAGACCGATACGTCTGCCAATAACATCTACCCGCAAATACTTTAGTTACTCCGTGATCATGACACTTGCAACAGTGCCGAAATATCGGAGACTCATAAAAAACAAGGTACATGGTAACAATCCAGTTAATAGCTATAATGTTAGTGACCATGCAAGATTAAAACAAGTATATGGTTTTATTATCATAATCTATCACATTACACACTCGCGCGGTAATGTAAAATAAAACGCATGGCTTATTATGTTCCGTCTAATAACGAACGATACTTTTTTAAATCATAGTAAAGAGTTTTTATGTTAGAAAGGTAGCCAACATTTTCTTAATAAAATTAACTTTGGGAGATAAAATGTAATATATAAACATTTAATTCTTTAAATTGATTCATTTTGACAATAAATAACAACCATGTATCGGTAACAAATTCACAAAAATATTAATTTACTTTATTACTAATACTGGCTGTTTTTCGTTCTTCTGACTAAAAAAGCGTCGACGCGCGCATCGCTAATCTGTGAAAAAGTTATTTCTTTTTCTTTTCGCTGTATATTTTATTTGAAAATTTTGTCAAGTTTTAATAACGAATTTAATAATTTGACACCGCCAGAAGTCGAAAAAGGCTACGCTAAGCCTCTTGCCCGCAAAATCCACGGATAGATACTTACAGTCAAGCTTATCAAAATTTCATCTTATGGAAAAAACAAAGGTGCAAATTCATTTCCAGAAAGTACGTACCTAGGTAGTATTATTTCCTCGCAAATGTGTTATAAAACGTCGTATGACATACGTGCGGTTTGATAATTACAGCCTCTGCCTTCTTATAGCCCTCACCTACGGCTTGGGCTAACAATATCGCCTCGGCTGTAATTCTCAACTTACCGTACTTATATGATAATGTACTATTACGACGCACTCTTAAAAGGATGCGAAACGTTATGTTAAAAAAGTATTAAAAATACATTTATACCCATTGGAAAATTGTTTTATATAATGCGGCAGCAAATATTTAGTTGAAACAAAAGACCTTCTAAAATCCTTCTAAAGTAAAACAACAAAACATATTTTACTGTAACTTCTCCTTCCTTTCCTTTTTTTCCCTAAGAGATTTATTTTTAAACCTCAATATTGGAAGCCAGAAAGCTATACGAGTGGTTCGTAAAATGAATCTTAAAAACGAAAGATTTTATTCTGAGAAGTAACAGCAAGAAATTCTGCAAGGGTTATTTAAATTTAAGTTCCTTTTGTTTTTTTCAGATTTGTAAAGTGAAACAATACCTTGAAAGTGAAATCTTACTCAATGTCATACTATGCATTGGTAACATATAAATTGAAGTGATGCCTGCGAGGTTTCTCATTGATGGAATGATAAACTAAACCTATCAATCTATATATATAAAACTCAAAGGTGACTGACTGACATAGTGATCTATCAACGCACAGCCCAAACCACTGGACGGATAGGGCTGAAATTTGGCATGCAGGTAGATGTTATGACGTAGGCATCCGCTAAGAAAGGATTTTGATCAATTCTACCCCCAAGGGGATAAAATAGGGAATAAAAGTTTGTATGAAACTTTGTCAATTTTAAACCGATCGGGCTGAGATTTTGCATGCAGGTATAAGAAGAATCATAGATGAATGTCATTGTGTATAATATAAGCCTGATAACAAAAACTGTAGTCTACACTTCAGCTCTACACCAAAGCGAAGCGAGGGCGGGCCGCTAGTATATAAAAAGAACAAAAAGAAACACGACAAAATATACGACGAATACGATAGTACGACGAATTAGGGACCTCTTCTTTTTTGTAGTCAGTTTAAGAATACATTTCGCTTCAGCTTTCGTACATTTGAATTACACATTGAAGAAGGAACTTAAAAACAAAAGTCTGCTCACGTCATTCCAATGACACATATCTTATCGAGCCTGTTTTACCAGATCTTGATAATTTAGTTAGTTAACTGTCATAAAACACTATCAAATATTGCTTAAACAATATTTCTTCTTTCATAAACTCTCAAATATTTGGCACATAAAAGTTTATGTGCCAAATATTTGAGAGTTTACTAAACCCAGGTAAGTACCTGCTACACTAATAATTTAATAAACCCTTAAATTATTGTTATTTATGTAACTGTTGTATAATGGGGGAGGGGGGGGGGGAGTATTAAAACACGAATGTGTTCACATGACTGTTTTAATACTTAATTATAACAGTTGCATGCAAGACTTTATCTACACCCATGATATCAATCCTTTTTAAAAGAATCTGAACTGAACCATGGGGCGTTCTAAGAACTTAGAATTTATGAGAAGTTTTGGCGCAAAAAAAAGAAAAGTGTTGAAAAGTGTGATACTGAAGCGCGTGTGAATGCCAATATTCTTCTATTGAAATTCATTATACCACGCATCCAGCAGTGAAAATTGTGGCTGCCTGATGAGCAAGCCCTTGGTCCGGAAGGGATTTAAAAAGCGGAAGAGTGTTATTATGAAATTTATTTTAATTTATGACATTATATATATATATATAGTATATGTAATAAGCTAAATGTTTCAGAATCTTTATTAGCGATTTTAAAGCATAGGTGTAGATAAAGTTTTTTTACTTTTTGATATCACCTACCATCGCATCCAACACACTTATACAAGCAGTACCCGAGTTAATATAGAAAAGTTAGCCCTCAGGGTCCCCTACCCAAAAAGCAGCAAAGGCGGTTGCCTTTGCCGTATTAACTAAAAACTGAAATATATTAAAGAAAACATATCTAACGTATTATATCCTAAACAAACAAGAAGGATGTTTACACCCCTGCAAACTTCTTGAGCATCGACCATAAACAAGGAAGCCTGCGCAGTAACAATTTTACAATGCAAAACCGTTTACTGCGCAAGCTTATTTTGTTTGTGGTTTTGCTCAAGAAGTTTGCCGCTACCTGTACCTTTAAAATCAACATTGAAATAAAAAACAAACTACGTACACTTTTTTTGCCTTTGCCGTATTAACTAAAAATTGAAATATATTAAAGAAAACATATCTAACGTATTATATCCTAAACAAACAAGAAGGATGTTTACACCCCTGCAAACTTTTTGAGCATCGACCATAAACAAGGAAGCCTGCGCAGTAACAATTTTACAATGCAAAACCGTTTACTGCGCAAGCTTATTTTGTTTGTGGTTTTACTCAAGAAGTTTGCCGCTACCTGTACCTTTAAAATCAACATTGAAATAAAAAACAAACTACGTACACTTTTTTTTTAACTGCTGACTTTTTAGTGATGCCAATGCAGACCCCTAGAAGTATACACGGCCGTAGCTGTTCTCATGCCACGTCAATAATTGGAGCGGTTGTTCATGTATCCTTTTTTTATTTTTCCAGCGGTACTCTCGCCAGGGCGCCATTGTTCGAGCTCGGGAAGCGCGCCCGCCCAGCCCTCACCCCACGTGAAACGGTTCGTATTTTTCATTGTTGCTTTAAAGCCTTATAGGTTTTGCTTTATTTATGCCCTTTATAACTCGCAGTGGAAGATAAATACCCGCGTGGCGATGTTCTGTTTTTGTCACGGCTTAATGGTTGCACTATTGTAGGTGCCGCGACTTGTAAGTTATATTATAGAAAGAATTGGATTACTACATTTTCGAGAAAAGTTTGCAATGCTTCGCTTAATAAATATTTTCTTTGTGTTCCATTTTATCTGACTCCTTCTTGTCTGTTTAGTGATTTTTATATCAGCAGTAAATTAATGAAACTGAGTTAGTTATCGCAGTATGCTGCATTTTATGTTTATACATTATTAAGTGATCGAGTTAATAAAAAAATAAAACTTAAAATTATGTTTATATACACGATTTTGTAAAGAAAACAAAGGCATCTAGGGAAATTTATGTTATAAGGTCGATTTTTGTTAATTAAATTAAGTTTAATTGTTGACGTAGTCTGTATACTTATAATCGTATTGCTAAAACGTGTGAAGTGAATTTTGTCAATTTTTGAAGTGAAAATTCTTTATGCACTTATCACTTAGTGGGTAAGCTGGCGAATTCGTTACGCGTTACGAAAAGTGTGTTCGGGCGAGGCGAACGGGAGTTGAGTGGGGGATATAAGCAAGAGAAAGCAGTGCGCGCGCACATTTTCTTTCTCCCTTTCGGTTATAGCTAGTAAATGAAATATTTATATACATGTATATATTGTACACATACACACACACACACAAATATATATACAGGGTGGAAATTTTGAATGCCACCCCCAGGGGAAGTACTCTAAATACTGGAGATAGATAATTTTACTCAAAGGAAACATTCCTTTATTTTTAAAAAGAAACACAACTGCATGCACAGTTTTTCGAAAATTTGCATGCCACACCTGGAAATCGAACTGGCAAAAATTCGAAAAAATGACAAATATATGGCATCGGTTGATAGATTATTTATTATGGTAAATTTTGATGCAGCAAACAAGACTTAAAGCAAAGCGTTCTAATTAGCTATTCCATTTTCAAAAATATGTAACATACCTCTTTGCATACCTCATTTAAATTACTGGTACCAAAGAGGTTGTACGGCGCCCCCCCTGACTGAACTCTTAAGCCTGCATTTTAGACATGTGCAAAAAATTCTTTATTCGTTATTTGAATGAATAAATGACGTCGAAGATAATAAAAATACTAACTCGTGTAATCTGGTGGGATAAAACTGCTTTTAGTCTTGTTCCATTCAGTTAAGTTAAGATTACACGCTTTTCCTTCCATTTAATGTACTAAGTTTGTTAGTAACATATGATCTCTATGATTGACCCTATAATTCGATGCCATAAAAATACAGGATGTAATTTTTTTGGAATTTTCGTTAGTTCGATTCCCGGGTGTGACAAGCAAATTTTCGAAAAACTGTGAATGCAGTTGTGTTTCTTTTTAAAAATAAAGGAATGTTTCCTGTGAGTAAAATTATCTATCTCCAGCATTTAGAGTACTTCGCCTGGGGGTGGCATTCAAAATTTCCACCCTGTATATATATATTTATATATACATACAGATGGAGCTAAAGAAGTTTCACTTCAGTCGTGGGGTCATAAGCTCAAGTTTTTTTATTAATTATCGATGAATTATTTAAAACCGATGTACACGACTAAACAATAAGATGGGGTCGGCAATAAAGACAAGAAGGTTTTTTGATTTTTTTTAATTAAATAAATTTAGAAATGCGGAAACCTAATAACGAGTGTGACCTCCTATTCAAAATCACAGCCTGAACCCTTTGGGCATGTTTTCCACTATCTTTAAATAACTTTTTGAGGAATACGTTCCCACTCTACTACAATGACTGATGTTTTGTGGAGCAGGATGCACTGATCTTAACCGTCTCTTTAGAACATCTCAGACATGCTCAATTGGATTGAGGTCAAGACTTTGAGCTGGTCAAACTAAACGACGGGTACCAACTTCTTGCATGTACGCTTTCATGTTGCCAGAAACGTGCGGGCGAGTATTTTCGTCCATAAAAATGGACTCTTCCTCTAATACAGTCCATGCGGGTTGTGATTGTTGATGGAATTAGGACTTCCGTTATGTGCCGGTGGGCATTTAATATTTCATTTTCTATAAAAACTAACTTCGCTCTGCGTAGAAGTTAGCTTTTATACAAAATGGAATTAATTGCTGCCCTAAAAATAACGGAGCCTCTGGCATAAGGAGTAATTTCATCAAAACACACTTCCGCATAGCGTTCTCGAGTTCTTTGCAGCACTGTACTGCAGCGTCGGTCCTCTCAATACAAAGAGATTCTAGCTCCATCAGAAAACAATACATTATTCCAGTCCTCCAGAGTCCATGAAGCACAGTTCTGGAAACTGTAATTGAGCAACACAGTGCTCACGGAGTAATTTTGGGCCCCGGGCTGGGCAGAAACTCCTGATATTGGCAGTCAAAAGCCTCCTCCTGACCGTCCACAAGACAACTTGTACTCCTGTTACTTTTTCAAGGCTCTTCTTTAGGTACACACTTGATGCTTTACGATTCCGCAACGCCCGACTCACCAAAAGCGGTCATCTCTTGGTTCTGTGCATCGTTTTCTTCTCGAACCCGGTCTTCGTTTGACCGAACCGGTCTTTTGATACCGTTGCAAAGCCCTCTGGACAGTTGAACAACTCACATTTAGCCGCTGAGACACGTAAGTTTGCGAACAATCTTCTTTAAGTAGGGCTATAATTTAAGGGTCCTTATCGCTTTATCACTCATATCAGAAAGTGGTATTTAATGTAAAAAGAAAGATAAAATTGTGATATTTGCAGAAAATATCCAAAAAAAAATTTTAGTTATCAGTAAAAAATCGTTTCAGCAAATCGTGCCATTAGGAAAGCAATTTTACAATAAACCACAATAAACTTTTTTTTGTTTAATTTTAAAATTTAAATAAGCACGTAAAGAATTATGGCAGGATGCATCAAATAACGTGCCATTACATCGTCAAATAAATAAAACCTCTTTTTTTTTAAATATTCATTGAAGTAGAGAAACAATCTAAAGTGTTATTGTATTGTGTGTGTATCAGTCATGAGTTTTATCAATCTTATTTTTACAACAGCAAAAACACTGCATTCAATATCCCTAAAAATATTTCTTCTTATGTACAATAACATTTCCCCAAAAACACCTCTTCATACGGTGAATTAAGCAAACATGTTATAAAAATTAAACGTTACTTTAGAAAGAGAAAATGTTTACTCATACATGAAAAACACACGGGCACCGGAGTAATTATCCAGCCATTAGAATATCTGTCGGACCGGACAAAGAAACTGGACGACGACATAGGGATGGTTTATGGCACTCGCATTGTGATACAAATGTATGTTCGCACAATGTAACTAAATGTATCCTTGGGGATAACAAATGATTACGTCCAGGCAGTCTGGAGCTTGTATCAATCATCGTCATATAATTGTATTCACTCCTTGAACCGATATGGGGGATGGGAAAGACTTCAATGAGATGAAAATATAGCATTGCAAGGTATTTGAAATCATATTACACATTAGCTTGCTATGGACCGTTGATGCCAAGTGGCATATTGACATATATTTAAAACTTTCATCATCATCATCGACCTATTAACATCCACACTTCTGGGGCACAGGCCTTTCCAATGGATGAAACATATTGTGATCCAGCCATGAGTCCTCGCGGACTCATTGCGAATTAGAGCTTGCTTACGACTGCAGATGCAATCAGGACCAACGGCTTGACGTCCTTCCAAAGCACGGAGGAGGTTAAGATAGTAAAATTTAGGTCACCCATCATATAACCGACCACTGCGAAAGTTGCTTAACTTTCTAGATCACAGACCGAACACGCTAACCACCGCGCCATCGATAATATTACCATAAGTGGACCTTAATTGGCTACATAACATACGTACAGATCTGTTCTCCAGTAGTGGGGACATTAATTGGGCTGGTCATGATGAAGTGAAGGTCTGTTACAATCGACAGGTGATTGGTATTATACGTCTCTAAACGAATAGTCTTCTTCATCATACTGCCTGTTGGTAGATTTCCAAACTGTCTAATAACACCAGTGATAATGACCTAACTTGTAGCAAAAAAATTGATCCAAAAACTACCCGGTTCTTTATAAACTTTAAGTATCTAAGTCATCAGATGACTTATTCTGTACCTTTTGTATTTTATCATGAAAAACGCATTCTTATCTTAATAAAAGTAAAGGTAAAGGTCGCCAGTCTTTTTTCATTCAATTGAGAATTCTTTAGCTTGCAGAATAAATTACGCACAAAGAAAGTCGACAAAATCTTAACAAAATGCCGTTAATATCAATACACAATTTACCGGAACCTGAAGGTATTACAACGCTTTCTCTAAGAAAATATTTTTTTCCCGATGTTAAACGGTCTGTTAAGATCGCGTGTTTTAATTTTGAATATTTTCGCCGGATCCGTATCCCTAGTCACTCAATCGTATACATCACTCTTATTGCGGTCTTATTTGAGATAAATTACTGCCAGCTCAGCTATTTTCTCATTATGTAAAAATAATAAACAATTCCACATAAAATCTTCTAACAAAAGACATAAAACACGGAGCTGAACTCAGCACAGAAAATTATGTATCTTTTTTATTTACAAAAGCTTTTTAAGGAGATAATTATGAAACAGATGAAAAAGACGGATTTGAAGGTACGAGTATATACATAAGTATTTTAAGCGGGAGGCAAAGGTAGAAATTTGAAATTGCAAAAATATTAAAATCTTTTAAGTCCATGATTAAGGAAAGTAGAAGATAGGACATGGTGCAGGAATTATATAAGGACCTAGGAAAGTCTCCTTCACCATAAAATAGACTGCTACTAATTAAAACTTTTTGAAGAGTAGATTTTCAGGTTTTCGGGTAACAGATATTGTGACCGACCACTGCGAAAGTTGCTTAACTTTCTAGGTC